ACTGAACCTTTGTCTAACACCATATATAAGAATTAACTCGATCTGGTTAAAAAATCAGAATGTAAAACCTAAAACAGGGGCTGGGGATGTGGCTCAAGTGGTAGTGCGCTCGCCTGGTATGCGTGGGGCGCTGGGTTCGTTTCTCAGCACCACATAAAAATGAAATAAAGATATTATGTCTAGGGCTGGGGATGTGGCTCAAGTGGTAGCGCGCTCGCCTGGCATGCGTGCGGCCCGGGTTCGATCCTCAGCACCACATACAAAGATGTTGTGTCTGCGGAAAACTAAAAAAAAATAAATATTACAATTCTCTCTCTCTTTCCCTCCCTCTCTCACTCTCTCTTTAAAAAAAACATATTATGTCTACCTAAAACTGAAGGACGAATATTTTTAAAAATAAATAAATAAATAAATAAAACCTAAAACAATAAAATTCTTAGAAGAAAATATAAGGCCAAAGCTTCATGACATTGGATTGGCAATTTCTTGGATGTAACACCACAGGCAAAAGTAATAAAAGAAAAAATACACAAGTTGGACTTCATGAAAATTTTTAAAAATGTCCATCAAAAGACACTATCAACAAAGTAAAAATGTAACCCACAGAATGGAAGAAAACTGTATGTAAGTCATAACCTGATAAAGGGTTATCATCTAGAATATATGGAGAATTTCTAAAATTGATTAAAACTGGACAAAGGAATTGAATAGACAATTGCCAAAGAAGATACAAAAATGTCCAGGGGCTGGGACTGTAGCTCAGTGGTAGAGCATTTGCCTAGCACAAGTGAAGTCCTGGTTCAAACTCCAGCACCCCATGGGGGAGGGGGGAAAGGCCAGTGGGCATATTAAAAGGTGCTCAACATCACTAGCATTAGGGGAACGCAAATCAAAACTACAATGTCACACCACCTCATACCCATTGGATGGCAGCTACCCAAAAAAACAGAAAACAGAACTGGGCACCATGATATACGCCTTAAGTTGTAGTAATCAGGAAGCTGAGGCTGGAAGATCACTTGAACTCAGGAGTTTGAGGCTAGCTTGAACAACAGGAAGACCTATCTCAAAAACAAAATAAAAACAAATGACAAACAAACAAACAAAAACCAGAAAGCAGTAAGCTCTGATGAGGATGTGAAGAATCTGAAATCCTCATGTACTATTGGTAAAAATACAAAATGGTACAGCCAAAGTAGAAAAGAATATGGCAGTTCCTCAAACATTGTAAAAACAGAATTACCGTATTTCTATAAAAATAGAATTACCATATAATCCAGCAATTCCACTTTTAAGCATATACCCAAGAGAACTGAAATCAGTCTCAAAGAAATATCTGTATGCCCATGTTCACAGCAGGATTAGTTATAATAGCTAACATATGGAAACAAGCCCAGTGTTCATTGACGGCAAGTACATTTGGTGTATCCATACAATGGAACATTGTTTAAGAAGTATATTCTACAGCACACTGATCATGGATGAACCTTGAGGACATTATGCTAAGAGAAATAAGCCAATCAGGAAAAAAGGGGACTACTACTGCTGTCTGACTTCACAATGACAGAGACAGAAAGTAGAAACTCACAATCACAGAGACAGAGAAAGTAGAATGGTGGTTATCAGAGGCTGGAGGAAGGAAATTATTGTTAATGGATAAAGCTTCAGTTTTACAAGATATAAAGAGTTACAGATGGATGGTGGTGACAGTGTCACAAAGTTATAAATGTATTTAATACTACTGAAATGAATACTTCAAGATGGTTAAGATGATACATTTTATGTTATGCATATTTTATTACACACACAAAGGTAAAGGGATAGAGAAAGATATACTATGGAAACATTAATCAAAAAAGTTGGAAGAACTACATTAGTCCCAGACAGAGCAGATTTCAGGGCAAGGAAAGTTCAGAGATAAAGAAGGGCATTATTACATAGTGATGTAGGGTTAATTCTCCAAGACACAGTGATCCTAAATGTGAGCCCCTAACTACAAAGCATCAAACTATGTAGGCAAAACTGATAGAACTGCCAGGAGAAACAGATGAATTCCTTGCCACAACTGGAGTTTTCATACCCTTTATCAAAAGGGGACCAATCCAGGAGGCAGAAAAGGACATGGCTGAATTCAATACTACCATAAATCAACTGAATATAATGGGCATCTACAGAGTACTCTATCTAACAGAATACACGTTCTCAACCTCACAGGGAACATTCACCAAGAGATATCACATTTTGGCCCATAAAACACACTCTTGTAAGTTCAAAAGAGTAGAAATTGGGGGTGGGATGTAGCTTAGCAACAGCGAGTGCTTGCTTATCATACAGAGGGCCCTAGGACCAATCTCCAAAACCATAAAAAAAAAAAGAAAAAAGAGGAAAGAAATCATACAATATACGCTCTTAGACCACAACGGAATTAAAGTAAATAATGGAAAGATAAGTGGGAAATCTTCACATATTTAGAAATTAAATTCCCTAGTACATACAGTTTTTTTTTTTCCTCTAGTATTTCTTACTGTATTTTCTTCTGCAACTACCTTGAACATTTCAACATATAAATTAAATATATTAATGGTATGAAGACATTTGAAAATAGAAATAAGTGTTCCAAGTTTTTTTTTTTTATTTTAAGAATATTAATTTTCTGTAGTAGTCGTCATAAACATTTTGGGTACTAAATATTTACCCACAATGGCCAAGTATGAATTAAAAGAATTACAACTCCTGTGCCATCAAGTCTTAAAGGCACTCTCTGTGACTTCACCACAGCAGAACTCACAATCCAAAAATGGATGCAGAAGCAGAGGCAGGCCAGAGCTCCCTCCATATTCGGCACCCACCCACTGCCTCTCAACTGGGTTGGGAACACCACACACACAACAATCCTCCTGATGAAGAGAAGTCTGTGTCCTTCTAACAGCTTGTTCTTTCTCTAGAAGGAGTCTCCAACAATTCCCACGGGCTGTTAACACAATATGTGCAACTTCCAAGTAAGTAACAAACTAGTTCTGTAACACCTGGCAGGAGACAATACAAAAGTTTCTACACCAAGTACAATTGAAGTGTCAAGGGCATCTTATGTCTTCAAATAAAAAGGGTCTCCAACTAATGCATCAGTAACAGCAAAAAAAAAAAAAGTAGTTGGAAAAAAAGTCTTCTACAAATATCTAAGCTCCTATGTGGCCACCACTATATATCACTTGACCCCTCTCTATATATTTAGTTTTTCTTTTTAATATTTTTTATTTGTCCATGGACCTTTATTTTATTTATTCATATGCGGTGCTGAGAACCAAACCCAGTGCCTCACACATGCTAGGCAAGTGCTCTACCACTGAACTACAACTCCAGCCCCTATATTTAGTCTTTCTATGCATGAATTTCTCACATTTATCAATGGCACTAAAGTCTAGCATGCAGCAAAAGAACATCAGATACAGCTGATGGTCCTAAAAATTGTTTTTCTTCTGCTTTTACACTTGTATAGACTACCTATAATTCCCAGAGAAAAGATTAAAGTCAAGGAAAAGAACAGGCTTTTAACTATAGTGTCCCAACAGGCACTGGGAATAATCCATTTCCTTTTTTTTTTTTTTCCTTTTTCTTTCTTCAAATGGTGATTGAGCCCAGGGCTTTGCATATGTTAGGCCACACAGCCTGGGGAATAATCTATTTCATCACATGACTTGAATATTTTTAGAAACTAATTCTTGAATAGCTTCAACCAGGACAAATATAAGGAACATTCTAAAATCTTAGGACTAGGGAAGGCAAGAAGGACTAGATGGATTCCTAACTGTACACACTCATCCAAAGGAAAATGGAGTGCACATGAAAATAGCCTAGCTTTACCATATACCTGAAAAATGCTCTGAAAAGCATGCTGTGAACAAAGACACCATCAAATGGTCAAAATGAAAACATTCAATCTAACAAAACTTAAGCATGAATTTGGGTAGCTGCTGAGGACTTACAGTAGCAGAACACAACAAACCTATTATCCTCTTTTCTAAGCTTGTGGCGTAACTCTCCCACCTGAACTCCTCCTGGCCAACACACACACAAGAAACCTACTGTCATGCTAAACACACCCCACTGTGCAAGTGAACTCCTGGAGGAGAAGCATGCCTGCAGCCTGAGCAGGCCCTTTCATGCCATGTCCTCCTTTTCACTTGTTTACAATCATTGTTTAAAATAATCTATCAGTAGAGTTTTGAGAAGACTATTTTTTAACTGATTAGAGATAACCTTGAACCAGAATAACTGGTATAAATAAAAACAGAAAACAATCAAAATTATGGCGAGAGTCAACAAAGATAAGTTCAAAACAGCTAGAGGCAAAGCTACCTAAGGCATAAAAAATGAAAACAACTGGGTTGCTGCAAAGTCAAGGACACTAAATATACCCACAGGGTACTTTAAGAAGAAACACATCAAGACAATCATTTTCTAGACCTTACTGTGAATAAGCTCCTAGCACACCTCTTTTTTTTGGGTCCCCTGTGCTCTTCAGTTCTCTCTACAACCTTAGGGTGATATGATTTTCTACAACATTGCCCTTGCAGTTCCTCTGTAGGTTGGTGAGTTGTCAGGCTAAGAGGCATACTCACTTAGACCCTGGAGAGCCCACCCAAGGTCAGAGGGACTGTTCAAATGACTTTGCCCATCACAACAAGAAACAGGCTCTGGAGGCCATAAGTAGATAAGCAGACTCATGTGAAGTGCACCAAGTTTAACTGGGTAGCAGCAGCATCTATGTTCTAATTAACTTTGAATGCATAAATCATGACCTTCATGATTGTTTTTAACAATGTGGAGGTTCAAAATTACAACCACTTGAGAGATCATGGTAAAAGCAGGCATTCACAGACCTTCCTATCAAGAGCAGACGCTGTTCTGTACAAGCTGCCAGTTTTATACACTGTTTAAATAAGCAATCCTGCAAGATCTTATAGGTGAGTGAGCTTTCAGGGCCTTCTGGCCCAGCTTACCTTACTGTGTGGGAAAGGGGGTGCTGTATACAAGGTCGGGTGGATGAGAGGGCGAGGCAGGTGTGGAACGGTGTGCAGAGGCACATGTCCATGGATGTGGGGGTACAGATGTAGTGCAGGGGGTGTAGGCTTCTCTGGGCTCAGGAACTGATGGCCAGGAGGAAGGGCTCCGGCAGTCACTGCTGACCCTGTCAGCCCAGAGGCTTCTTGTTTACAAACATGACATTCACAAGTGTTCGGAGCTTGTTCAGCCTAAAAGGAAAGAAACAAAGAACTTGTTTAATGTGAAACAAACAATAATACGAATTAGGGGCTGGGGATGTAGCTCAGTGGTAGAGCGCTTGCCTAGCATGTGTGAGGCACTCGGTTTGATCTTCAGCACCACATAAAAATAAAACAAAGGCATTCTGTCCATCTACAACTACAAAAAAAAAAATTAAAAATTAGTATGAATAAGTTAAGGTCAGTCACATTCTGCCAAGCAGTTATGAAGCAAATAAGAAGGCAAGAATGAGGCGTGTCCTGACACTCTTGAGTTGCCCATGCTCCCCACCCTGCGCTTGAGGGGGAAGAAGGAACCCCAGGGACTGGGACTTCAGAAGCGGCGAAGAGGGGAGAGGTGCTCCTCATTCCCAGGTGGTGGTATGCTGAGGTAGCAGCTACCAATCTATGTCCTGTGCCTGACTGCAGAGATCAAGGACCTGACAAAGATGTCACTTTGCAAGAGGGAACTGGGAACAAGAACTGAACGCTAGGTGACTCTGCTCCACTGGGTTCCTACTGCTCAATTGGTGGCTGCACAGAAATCTCCACATGGAAGCCAAGGGGCAGGATTCTGGCAAAGGTGGATTGAAGGGCTAACAACTCAGCTTCCTCCTGAGCACAAATGCCAAAGGCAGCCATTCTAAAGCTCTAGAAATGAGCCAAAGCAATATATCGAGAACTGTTTCTTCTTGTAAGATAGCTGCAACTTGAGTGAAGAACAGGAGTCTGGATTTCTTGCCTGGGGCCTTTCCCTCTTTCCACCCCAGCTTCTGAGCAGTAGCCAGAGGTATCATCAGAGCCGCTGCTGGAGAAAACCTGCCCTGCTGCTGAAGAGGGCAACTCCATGACAAGTAGAGGTGAACCAACAGAAGTGGCAGACTCAGTGGGGAATGGGCAGGGAAGTTTATAGCCCTGATAGCTTGGGGCTGGTGTCTTGGGGTGAGTGGCAGATGAGACAAAAACCTATTAGGGAGACTCTAAAAATGAGAGAGCTTGGGAAGGCTCCTCAGGCTGCCCACACTTGCTAGCTAACCAGGAGACCCCAGTATACACACAAGGAAGACTTCAGAGCCCAGAGGAAGGAATTCCACAGGTGACCTGAGAGCTGGCTGGGGTGCAGATCCCCACCTATACACAGATGCTCTGACACATGTTGAGACCCTGGGTGTTAAAGGTCTATAGGTGAACTGTGCCCAAATCATTAGCTGACCCAACAAGCTAGGCAACCAAAGGCAAGACCTTTATCAGACAAGCTAAAAAACGAAAACAGAGTAAAAACATGAGCTGATGCATTAGCTGCTGCATATGGGGGAAACCGATTCTGCAACGTAAGTCTAGGTAAGCACTAAAACATACAGAAGCAAAAACCTCACTGAACAGTCACTCAAAGGGAAAGTCAGAGTTGTTACATTTTTAAAAGACCAGTTTTCAACCAAAAAGTATGAGACATGCAAAGAAAAAGAAAAGTGTGAGCCACAGTTTTGCAGGAAAAGGACAGCGAATCACTAGAAATTGGTTCTCCTGAGTAGCTCTACATAATGGATTAGCAGAAAAAGATGCAAAACTGCAGCTACAACATGTTTAGAGATGTAAGGCAAGTAGGAGAACAGAGATCAAACATACAGGGGATTATAATATAGTAACTATAAAGAAAATGAAATATGAATTCTAAAAGCAGGTTTAAGACAGCAGAGTGGGCTGGGGATGTACCTCAGTTGGTAGAGTGCTTGCCTCACATGCACAAGGCCCTGGGTTCAATCCCCAGCACCCCCCCCCCCCGCCCACACACACACACACACATACAGCGGAGAAAGAATCTGTGAACTCCAATTAGGGGAACAGAAATTATCCATATTTACTAGGTAACAGACTATGCATAAAAGGCTTCCCTAAAAAAAAAAAAAAAAAAGAAATTATCCATATGAAGACAAGCAGAAACTAGAGTAAAGAAGGGCTGGGGTTGTGGCTCAGTGGTTTGCCTAGTATGTGTGAGGCACTGGGTTAGATTCTCAGAACCGCATATAAATAAAAAATAAAGGTCCACTAACAACTAAAAAAATATTAAAAAAGAAAACTAAGAGAGAGAGAGAGTATGTAAAGGAAAATATAGACAGAAATCTTTGGGGAGAGCAGCAAACACACCGGCATGTATGCAAAGAAGTCCCAGGGACAGGAGCGGGAAGGGTCTCTGAGAGGAAAACTTAAAAGAAACAATGTCTGAAACTCTTACTTTTCAAATGGGATGAAAATCATTAATCTACAGATCTAAGAAATACAAGGAAGCTGAACATGGATTAAAATAGATGTACATAACCACCTTGGAAGCTCCTGCAGTCCCGCCTCCATAAAGAAGCACAGGCCTGTGTGGAGGACTGACTGTCCAGCAGCTACACCACTCTGTGTGGGATTCTGATGGTGGGGGAGGATGTGAGGTGCAGGCAAGGGGCGTAGAGTTCTCTGCACCTTCTATTGAACTTTGCTGTGAACTTAAAACTATTCTAAAAAATAAGAAGAAAAGAAAGACATTTATATGTAAAAACTGAGAAAATTCAGTGCTAGCAAACTGGTCCTACATGAAATACTAAAGGATGTATTTCAGCTGAAATTGTAGTGGCACCCTCTCCTTAACAAAAAATCTTAACTAAGCTTCTCAAGAAATTTTCACCATAATTGATTTTAAGACTATAAGCAAAAGAGTCTCTACAAAAAGTTCAATGTAGTTAAACTTTCTATTTTCCTGTTGCTCTATTTTACTTGGCCACTGGCCAGAAAGAAATCAGCACTCCAGGTGCTCAATGCCCTTTCACTTGTTTTTCACAAACATGTTTCCAGTATAATAATTTGTAAAAGTATGTTTGCAAATGCAAAATGTGATAAAAAAGACAAATCCTTTAACAAGGCCTCTGGCCTTGAGCTGGAGTTTCATAGAGATGTCTACATTTCTATGGAGAAGTTACCTATTGGGCTCCATGGTAACAGCTGGCAGGGGAGGGAAAAAAGGGGAGAAGCTCCCCCCTTTCCAAGAGCTGTACTTGAAGGGTTAACTTGCCCAGAACAGTGAAGAAAAAGCTGCTTTTCTGAACTTCTGCAGACTGTGAACTTCTGAGCTCCTTCCCTTACATGCTGGGTATAAAATTCTGAAACTACCTGAACTCGAGATTCAGGGGATTGATTGATTACTGCAAAAGCTTTGCCCTCTGAACCTGGTTGCAGCCAAATAAAACTGTTTCCTGCTATCTTCGGTGCGTTGCCTCGTCTGTCCCTACAACAAAATGAAATAATACAAATCCCCACACACAAAAAAGAATAATAAAAAAAAAGAAAAGAATGCCAGAAGAGGTAAGCAAGCTGGCAAATGGAAAATATCACGTTATCTTTTGTCTTTGCTTATAATTTCTCTAAAATTATGAAATTCAAAAAAGCAATAATTTTAATATGCTGGGTTTATAACATATAAATATAATACACAGAATAATAATTTGAAGGAGGAAGAAGAAAATAGAGCTGTATTAGAGCAATGTTTATCTATGTTACTGGAATTAAATCAATATTAACCTGGAGTAGATTGTAATAAATTAAGATGCATATTGTAATGCTTAAAGCAGCAACTTGAAAATGACTAAAAAAAAAAAAAAAAAATCATTAAAGAATTAATGGCAGGACTAGGGCTAGAGCTCAGTGGTAGAACACCTGTCTAGCACATGTGAAGCACTGTGTTCAATCCTTAGCACACATAGAAAAACAAATAAAGGTATTATGTCCATCTACAACTTAAAAACAAAACAGAATTAATGTCAGAAGCCAGGTATGGTGGCACAGCCATGTTAATCCTGGCAACTTGGGAGACTAAGACAGGAAGATTACAAATTCAAGGCCAGCCTGGGCAGCTTGCAAAAGCCTGTCTCAAAATAAAAAATAAAAAGAGCTGAGGATATAGCTCAGTGGTAGAGGGCTCCTCGGTTCAATTCCCCAGTACCATTAAAAAAAAAAAAAATAGTGACAATTAAATGGTATTAATGGTCACTAAAAATTTTGTTTAATGTCTGAAAAGGCAGAGGTTGATAGAATAAAAATGCAAGGTCCAACAAGAAGATCTGAAAGCAAATTTAGATTTGAAGACACAAAGAAGCTGAAAAATATAAGGAAAAAAAGTATAATGTACATACAATAACCCAAGAAGCTAAACTGGCTTCATTAATATCAGATATAACGTACTTTAAAGTAAGAAGTTATCAGTAGAGAAATATCTCATCATGACAAAGGGGTCAATGTACTAGGGAGTTACAATGACATGTACACACATTCAACATCATTCCCAAATGTAGAAATCAAAAGTTGGCAAAAGTCTTTAGTATGATTCTCTCAGAAACGGGAAGAACTAGAGAGAAATCAGTGAGGAATCACATCCTATCTGCATACCCATGTCCCTCCAGAATCCATGGGGAACTAATCTCTAAGGGTGGCTCTCAGGAGTCAGGTTAGTGCATCTCTTCCAGAGGCCCTGGCTGCTTGGCCCCCAACCCCCACCTGCCGATTATACCAAGATTGCTATCTGTGAGAAAGCAGGTCTGCCACGCTAGAGAGCGAACCCTACTATAACTCCAAACTCACCTTAAGCAACTGTCATGTGTGGTACACATGTAAGGACAAACAGAGACCAAATGAAGAGAATGAATTTTAAACCCTTGCATTTACGGCCCATCAATTTTCAACAAATCATCAAAGCGCTTCTGCAGGGGCAAGGCCAGTCTGACAGAGAGCACTGGATAATTGGATGTCCATATACTTAAAAACACAGATGCAGACTTTAACCTTACACCATAAGCAAACTCTTAGTCAAATGAATCACAGCATCTAAATAAGTTACAAATCTTCTAGAAGAAAACAGTTTTGTGTTAGGCCAAGTTTTCTTAGAGAATGTATCAAAGGGATGGTTCTGAAAATAAAAAAACTAATAAATTGGAATGAATTAAACCCAAAGCTTCTGCTTTACAAAAGACACTATTAAAACTGGGTTGGGGGGCTGGGGATGTGGCTCAAGCGGTAGCGCGCTCTCCTGGCATGCGTGAGGCCCGGGTTCAATTCTCAGCACCACATACAAACAAAGATGTTGTGTCCGCCGAAAACTAAAAAATAAATATTAAAAATTCTCTCTCTCTCTCTCCCCCCCTCCCTCTCTCACTCTATCTTAAAAAAAAAAAAAAAAAAAAAAAAAAAACTGGGTTGGGGTTGCGGCTCAGGGGCAGAACGCTTGCCTATCACGTGCGAGGCCCTGGGTTGGATCCTCAGCATCACATAAAAATAAAATAAAGGTATTGTGTCCAGCTAAAAATAAACACAATAATAAATATTAAAAAAAAAACACAAAATAAAGAGACACATTATAGACCATGAGGAAACAGTGCAAATCATATATCTGATGAAGGATATATATCCAATATATAAAGAAATCTTATAACTCAGTAATAGGACAGAAAAGGAAACAAATAGCCCTTAAATATAGGAAAGGAGGTTTACCTATTAAAGGGAAGTGAAAACTGAAACCCCACGGGTTACCATTTCCATATATCAGACTGGCAACAATCCAACAAAACTGTGGGGCCACTCTTTTTTGGAGTCTGGGTGGTCACCGTGGCCTTACCCAACCCCACTCACTGATGTTCTTACCCACAGTTCACTGCTGGACTAGTCCTAGAGCTGTATCTGCTTACGTACACAATGTCAGATGTACAAGGTTACTCACTGAATAGTTTGCAATGGTCAAAGAGGGGATGAACAGCACAAGTGCCCATCAACAGAGAACTAAAAAGGAAAAACAGAAACTACAGCATGTTCACATTATGAAAAAGAGTGAGGCCAGCAAAAGGGAATGAGAAAGTACGCTCTGCAGAGACATAATCTGTCAGGATGCACTGTCAGGCAAACAGGTTCAGAACTTTAACTGTGTGTGTGTTATTAGACAGCCTTTCTCATAAAAAAGGGGAAGAATAAATATATAAGAATGAAATAAAGATAATGTGTCCAACTACAACTAAAAAATAATAAATATTTTTTAAAAAGATTTTTAAAAATTATGAATTGTCTGTTTTACAAGTGTGTCTTGATTCTCTCTGATTCTGAGCAACAGAAATAACTTGAAATGGAATACTTTCACAGTTAATAATGCCCATGTTTGGGAAAAATATATACTGAGAGACTCATGACAAAAAGAAAATCTGAAACATGAAACCCTACCTGCTGGGCTGGGTAAGAAGGGGGTGGAGTGTCCACTTTACTTTCCTCTGTCCTGGGGCTCCCGTTTCCCAGGGCCCCATCTTCCTTTGGAGCTCCTGGGGGCTCCCCACTGCTTTCACCATCCACTTCTTCATCGTCAGCTTCTGAAGAGCTACTACTGGTGCTGCTCACCTGTGGGGACTTAAAACGCAGCCTTTTGTAACTTACACTTTTCAAAGTAGAATAATGCAAAAATTAAACTTAGGCCACCATATTATGCCACCTATTGTGGCTACAAGTAACCATGCTCATACCTCATCTTTCAGGGCCATGTTTTCCCCACCACCATTCAGTTCGCTGTGGATCCCATTCATGTTGGCCACCACCTCGGTATCGTCATAGTTACTCAATGGATAAATATCAGCAAACTTGGCTGACAACGGTGCAACGTCCTCATCATCACTACAACTGAGACAACAGACAAGGTCAAAGGCGGCTACTGTACTGCAGAGGAGGATAAGGGGCCACCTGCTGTGCACAGAAGCCTTCTTTAGATCACTGCTTGTGTTCAGAGTCCTGTAAAGCATCACTCATTACCAATACCTCCTGGTCACCTGAATATGAGAGGAGAGACCTAGAAGATCAGCATTTTTACTACCTGGAAGAATGGAAAGGGAAAACCTCTAAAGGCAGAAATATTAAGGAAATCACAAACATTTAATCAGACTAATGGATATTACATTTATTATGTGACTTGAGATGCCCTGCTACAAAACTATTCCTTCTACCACTCCCAAGCCCAGACACAATTGTTTTATTTAAAATTAAAGGGGTACATTCAGATGCAGTGGTGTATACCTATAATCCCACCTACTTGGGAGGCTGACGTTGGAGGATTTTAAGATCAGGGCCAACACAAGACAACTTAGAACCTGCCTCAAAATAAAACATAGAAAAGGGCTTGGGGGGGTGGGCAGTGCTGGGGTTGTGGCTCAGTGGTAGAGCACTCGCCTAGCACGTGCAAGGTGCTGGGTAGATCCTCAGCACCACATAAAAATAAATAAATAAAAATAAAGGTGGGGGAGGGGGAGGGAGGGAGAGGGAGAGGGAGAGAGAGAGGCATGCGCACGCACACACAGAGGGAGGAAGGAAGGAAAGAAGGAAGAAAAAGAATTATGTGGGGCTTGAGAACGAGTCCATACTGAGAACTGAAAGACTCTAAAGGAAAGGTTTCTCATTTATTATGTGACTTGAGATGCCCTTCTCAGTTTCCTTGAGAAATCCAGAGAGAGGAGATAAAGATATGACCTGAGTCAGAGAAATCTGAGGAAGGCTGAATAGCCGAGGTCAGGGGCAATAATCCCTGGCACTGGAATCTCTGCAGGGCTCACGATGGCTGCATGCTCTATGATGCACATGCAATGGAAGTCTAGGTCTACTCAAGTAATTACCTCCCTTCCATAAGCCCTCACAAATGACAGTGTCACAACTCTGAAGGAATCTGGGACCAGCCAACCACAAAGTGAACAGGCAAGAGCAGCAGGGCAGCCTCGCCAGTATGAAAGGAACACCTAGTTATGTGGGAACACAGAAGACAAACTTTCCATCGCTTGCTAACGTGATCATTTGAACTCTTAGCAAGACATGAGGCAAGCATGAACACTGGGCTGACAATGAGGCGAGTGAACGGCAGCTGACCGCCCTCCAGGAGCACAAGGAGAAGGGGCCAGAGCCAAGGAGACACTTCCCTGCATACCAACATGTTTTTCATGTTTTTTACTGTACTGGCACTTGTTAATTTAACATTTTTTTCAGGTGATGAAATAAGTGTCAAACTTTGAATTGACTGATTTCATGTTTTAAAAGTTGCTTAAAACAATGCAAGGTCTTTTTCATGAAAAGCATTATGATGATGTTCATACTTCTGTAGACATCACTGTTTCTTGCGACTGAATACTTAAAATTTCTGAATCTTTATTACACAGTTACAACTTACAAAGTTGGTGCAGAGCCATTGTCTGTGAGGATGAGTCTGGGATGTTGCTGAACTGTGATGGGAGAGCTGGAGCCTGACCCTGAGCTTGCTGAGGACACGCTAGGTGGGCGCATCTCAGAGAGATAGTCGGGAGCAGAATCCACTTGGAGTGGTAGCTGGTGAATGTGGATGTCATCAGTGACGGGGGTGTCCATGATACCACAAGTGAGGATGTGTGAGAGGCTGCAGTCATCACAAGCACATCTGATCGGGAATTAAGGACAGTTACCAAGAGAGCCAACACAGAAGGTCATCATGTTCTCTGAAGGTCGGTTCCAGACCTCCACCTGGTTCAAGGAGGGCTGCAGGCTGCTGCACCCATGACAGCCCAGCTCACCTTCTCCTGTAGTTGCAGTTGGGGCAGTCAGGCATGCTCAGTCGTGATGACAACATGTGCCTCATGGTATCTGTGAAGTTGTTCTCGCCAGTAACCGCTTTCTTATTGGTTAACTAGAGGAAATTATCAAACAATTGCTTAATTTCACAGAAACCTTTCTCCATTTCATGGATCACATGTTCTAGTAATTATGATAATATGTAGAAATCAATTTGGTCAGCTTCCTCAGGTGGGCAGGACCAGGATACAGGAGCGGCAGACCTGGAGCTGAGCTGCTCAAGGGCCCAGGTACCAAGAACCTCCTAAATATTTTGGTCTTCAGCAAGCACACTGTCACATGCCCTCATAACAGACGTCCAGAAGGCAGGCTACTGCAGATACCCAACCTTTACCCTCTATCTGTCAAGTACTCTGTATCTTCTGGGAACCAGGAAGGCAGCCATAGAAAGAGAGACTGGTATGTGGTGTTGGAGGAAGAGGCTTGGACCTGGAAGCTTCCTTCCAATTGACTAGGAAGCATCTGAGTATCAAAGGAGAAGGAGTTCTGGACCAGCTTTGGCAAATGGACAGGTGATGACTGGAAGGCCATTTAATACACAGAATAGGGGGCAGCGGGCAGGGAACTAAAGGAAAGGCCAAGGGCATTAAGCTCATAAAGGAGACTAAGAAAACAGTCCAGGAAGTAGGAATAGTTGGTGTGGCCATATGAATGAGATTAGGGCAAGAAGTTCCAAAAGCAGAGGGATCCCAGGCCAATCACAGGAAGGTCAATTGCAAGCTCTCCAAAGACCTCATCAGCAGAGGGTGCAGGGCAAGCCTGCTAGAGGAGGCTCCACCAGGGTGAGGAGGAAGGGGGCAGACTACAGATGGTCTGGCTCCTGGCATTGCGGGGGAAAGCTGGGCTGAATCCCTGTGATTTCAGAAATGGCCTTAGCCTGCAGCATGTCACCCCTTCATGCGTGATCTGGAGATAGCAACACCTGCCTCACAGATACGCATGGGGACTCAGGGCAATGTCATCTGTAAAATTCCTAGGGCCGCTGTGTACCAACATCAGTCACTCGATGAGCACTGGCTTTCCTTAAAGAGTAATCAGAATGTAGGAAATAGGCAAATAAAATCGGTTTACCTTGAGGTTTAACACTGGCAGATGTTGCCCATGTGGTCCTCAAATGGTGTCCTGTTGCAACAGAGCAGCTAATGTGCAAAATGCCACTCACTCTATAAAGAGGATTTCCTACTTCCTTTAATTGCCTCTCATATGGACAAACTTACCTGTTCTTCAATGAATCGCCTTTGTTTAAATATCTCCCAGTCTTCCGTTAACATGCGCTGTTTGGTTTTCATTGTCATCTAGAAAGCAGATGTTAAAAAAACAAAACAAACAAACAAACAAACAAAAAACCTTGGTACCAGCAGCAATTACACAGGGTATTTTCAAGGGAAGATTTTTTTTCAAATGATATATACAAGATGTAAAGAAAACAGATACAATACTACAAATATATTATCAGGCAGCCCATTTCAGCATCTTACTCAACTTAATCAAAATCGCCACAAGTGCTTTTGTGTGTGTGTGTGTGGTGCTGGGGACTAAATCCAGGGCCTTGTGTATACAAGGCAAGCACTCTACCAACTGAGCTATATCCCCAGTCCCACAAGTGCTCTTTTTACAAGAGGCACAGTTCCCCAGAGCCTCCCACTGCAGAGGGCAGACCATTTCCTACCTGAAAGGAGAAGTGCTCTCTCCCTGAGCCTGCCTAGGTGTAAGCACACATGGTGGATATGAGAACCACAGCACTCCTGAGCTGGCCCACTCCATCACTCCCATGAATTCCCCAGCCTGGAGACAAGTACTCAAGACTCTTCATCTAAACAATGTGTATAACTTTCTACACAAAAATCAATAAGTAAAATGCAATGTGATTCAAGAAGAAGAAAACCTGAAATAGACTAATAGTAGATCTATACTTGTTCTTCCTCTCTGCAAACATGAATCAGGCCCCAAAGTTTTATGGTAAGTTCTATCACATCCTTCATGGAATAGAAAATTTAAACTATTCCTGCAAACTGAAAAAATACAGTTTCTCAAATTTCATAAAGCTATCATGATCTTCTCACAAAACAGACAAGTGTCAAAAACTAAAACTCAATTCCATAACACCTCAGAATATAAATAAAAAGTCCTAAATAAAACATCAGCAAGTTAAGTCTAACAGTGAAGAATATCATGATCTAATAAGGATTAATCTCAAGGATGCCAAGAATGCCTCAAAATTAGGAAACCTAATCTCTTAAAATTCATACAAAAATAGGAAAACTATAAAATCAAATTTGACATGTATTACTCTTTTTCTTTTAAAATAACCCAAGTAAATAAAGTGAACTTCTTGAATTTGCTAGTAAGTGCCAAAAAAGTCTGAATGGCAAACAGTGCTTCATCGTGAGACATTCAAAACCCCCACACAAGGACTGGCCAAGGGTGCCTCTGCCAGTATACTCACTCACCCTGCTCTGAAGGTTCTAATAGAAGCCAAAAAAAAGTTCAAATGCAAGAAAGAATGAGACAGAACTATCATTATTTGAAGATGATATCATGATCTCCCAGAAAATTCAAAGCAACTGACTCAAAAACTACTGAAGCTACTGAGGGACTTTGGTAAGACGAACGGTGCCCCTAACTCTGCCTTCCTGTTTATCACCAAGAACACATTAGAAAGCATACTCACAAAACAAGACCCAAAACTAAGAAACTCCATGGCATAAACTTGGTAAGAAATGCACAGACTATGCAGGATAGAAAAAAAAGACCTAAAAATAAGGAGAGATCAGATTCTTAGATGGAAGGATTTAATATCAAGGGCCAACCCTTCCTTTTCAACATATATGCCTGCAGTTTTAAAAAAAAAGGCATTAAAAAACAAAAATCTTTATTTTGTTTATTTTCGTTTTTTATGTGGTGCTAGGGATCAAACCCAGTGGCTCACATATGCTAGGTAAGCGCTCTACCACTGAGCCACAACCCCATCCCAGAAAGGCATTTTTCTTGGAGATATTACTATTGCAAGTTTGAAAAATTATATTAGAAAGCTAAAAATTAGGAAAGGTGATCATATGTATACATATTTTATTCATTCTTTTTAGATATACATGACAGTAGAGTGTTTTTTGACATTACACATACTTGGAGTACAACTTATTCTAGTTAGGATCCCACTCTTGTGGTTGTATATGATGTGGAGTTTCACTGGTGATGTATTCATATATAAAGATAGGAAAGTATGTAATTAGTTCAGAATTCAAGAGTTATTTGGCACACAGAAGAGTCTGCTTCATGAGACTTCTGTTTAGACTGGAGTTTGCTATGCTTGTAGTAGATCAGGAGCCAAGAGGTAAGATGGGGCTGGGACAGGGAGGTCACTGGGGGTCTCCATTTGCCACTCCATTTTATTGGTAAACAACATCAATAAAAACCCACTCTTTGGTCCTCTCCTCACATTCTCTAGGTCAAAATTAGTTGGGGGAAAAACTTGGGTAACTGCAGTGTTATGTATATATGTATCAAACAAAGAAAACATAATTTTAAAAAGCAAAATAACATTTCAAAGCTGTCAACTGCCCCTTGCATTCTGTTTCTTTGTGAATAAAGACTCAATTATTTTACAAGTGCTCTACATTTTGAAATCTTTGGATTAGCATAAAATTTCTGAAATGCTTACTGATGAGAAGTAACTAATCTCCATTTCATTGCTTTAAATTAAATGACAGATTTAAATGGTTCCATAGGGGACTGCAGTAACACAGTCACGAGATAGGACACCTGGGGCCATCGTGAGGGGGAAGGGCAGGAAAGATTTCCCCATCCCTGCAACCATCAGCGTTCAGAAGAAAACATGACTCTGATGATACCCTGATTTTGAACTTCTGGGTCTGGGCTTCCAGAACTATGACAAAATACATTTCTATTATTTTAAGTCACCTCCCTCATTCTGCAATGACTCCATGGATGCTACTAAAAGTGGTTCAATTTCTCAAATTTGTATTATAACGTCTTGATTTCTCATGGTTTTTGGTATAGAGTGAAAAACAGGAATGTATCTTCTGGCTGCTTTAGTGGAGACAATGTTCTTTCTTTGTAAAAAAGATAGGACAGAGGGGAATGGTGGCATACAACTGTAATCCTAGTGGCTCAGGAGGCTGAGGCAGGAGGATCACAAGTTCAAAGCCAGTCTCAGCAACTTAGCGAGACCCTGTCTCAAAATAAAAAATAAAGGACTGGGAATGTGGCTCAAGCCGTAGCGCGCTTGCCTGGCATGCGTGCAGCCCAGGTTCGATCCTCAGCACCACATACGAAAACAAAGATGTTGTGTCTGCTGAAAACTAGAAAAAAATAAATATTAAAATTCTCTCTCTCTAAAAATAAATAAATAAATAAAATAAAAAGGGCTGGAGATGTGGCTCAATGGTTAAGCACCCCTGGGCTCAATCCTTGGTACAAAAAAAAGACAGAATTTTAAAGAAATAAATCCACTATCAGCTTTACTTTTTTCTTTTCTTTTTTTAGTTTTTTGGTGGACACAAGATCTTTTATTTTACATTTATGTGGTGCTGAGGATTAAACCCAGTGTCCCGTGCATGCTAGGCCAGCACTCTACCACTGAGCCACAACCCCAGCCCCATCAGCTTTACTTTTTAAGTGATACTGTATTTTTCTCCCAAGAGAAAGCATTGCTATTTTTACATACATTTCCATTTTCACTAGAACAGCAATGATAGCAATGTATATTATGTTAGTGAATGAAACCAATTGCAGGCAACAAACAATTCTAGGAATTATTACTCTCTTAAAGCATTCTTCAGTCATAGCAAAAAAGAAACTTCCCCCTTCCTGAGAGTTACCCTGGGTCTTTTTCCTGTTCAGGCCTGGTCCAACAGGAGAAATAAATTTACCACACCCATCCAATGTATACCAGGGGACAGGATGTGGACCATTCTGCCTGGAGCCCTAAGCCTGCCTGGCTGGGCCCTTGGGGAGCCTCCTGCCACCCACAGCTGTGATAACTATGTCTAGAGCCCAAGAGCAGTGGAGGTGTGATCCACACAGAGCCTGGCACCACGTTCTTCTCTAATCTGAATTACTATTTAATTATTCCATTTTCTGAAATCACCTAATGGTTATTTACCACTGCATAAGCTTATATAGATATAACATGAGGGAAACCAACTCTACTGAATAGCAGGAAAAATGTCAAATGTGTGGAGAGAGGGAGGCAGCAGTCCCACTCAGAGAAGCTCCCAGACTCCGGAGTCTTGAGAAGCCAGCCTCCCCATTTCTATACCAGGATAGGCACTGCCCACATACCTGGAGGTCTCCATTTGCCACTCAAGCCTAGCAGACAGTGCCTCCCCAGAAAGTGTTCTGCAAAGCCCTGATGAGCACTGAGCAGCAGGCACAGAGATTACCATCCCCACTGTCAGGAATATGTGTGTTCCTTGATTTACATCTCAGAATGGAGGGGACCTGAAGGTCTTCTAGTCCAACCAGGCCTGAAATCTCTGCCAACTCACTTCTGCACATTCCCTACCCCAAGAATCATAGCATCTCCATACCAGAGTGCAGGGCAGAGATGAAACAGCTTCTCAGTTACTGCAATGACTACTACAGCACTGAAATGGGCCCTGAGACATTTATCTCCAGGCCAACAGCAATTGCCAGCTGGTACCATCTGGGCGCGCTTTGGCAGCTGCCCTGCAGTGAGCTAACCGTCTACATGTAGAAGGCTCCAAAGGTGCTGCATGTGGCCTGCTGTAGTCACAGTATCCACAGCAACATGCCTCCCTTTTACCCCAATACATGAACCTTGTCAAAGATAAAATGAGGACACTGCAGGCCATGGTCCTTGGAAAAGACAAGAGAGGTCCTGAGTTTATTTCATAACATCAACGCACTGGAGGGTTCCTTTACCTCACACAGTATGTCTTTCCTATAACTGAAGCTGTCAGGACAGAGACTTGGTAGGTAATATTATTTCATAATTTCACTTCCTGAGAGACGTATGGATTCAGGGCCCTTCCATGCACCTCTCACAAGTAGCTCCTCTGGTAGCCTTGAGGCCCTTGTCATCCGCAGTGGCCCTTCCCTGGGTCCAGGAGCCCCAGTGCTCCTGTCTCCGTTACCAGCTGCAATAGCCCTGCTTCCTGCACCTCACTCCCTCTCCAGCTCCTCATCAGTTTCCTTCTACCATTCCCTTGAGCCCCAATGATAAGACCTACCCATAGTTTGAATCTTAGATGTTCCGTAAACATTCATCTGTTAAAGGCTTGTTTGCCAGCCTGTAGCACCAGTGGAAGGTGACAAAACCTTGAGGAGGTGGGGGCTAATGGGAGAAGTTAGATCATAGGGGTACATTCTCCTCGAAGGGGATACTGGGACCACAGCTCCTTCTCTTCTCTCTTTGCTTCCTGGCTGCCATGACTGTGCCTCTGCAGGCTCAAAGCAACAGGGTCAACCGACCATAAACTCCACCCTCTGAAACCATGAGCCACAAACTTTTCATCCTTATGAGTTAATTATTCCAAGCACTTTGTCATAATAACAGAAAGCTGACTCAAATCTAGACTCCCCCCCCACCCGGTTTTCCTTTATAGAATACTGATGATCTGACACCCCAGTAAACCAGAGTTTCACTGCTTCTCTCTTACCTCGTTACCTTCCACAAACTACTATGTACAGCTATCCTGGGGTATTCTCTGTAGGTGACCCTTAAGCAGCTTACCACAATGCAATTCACTACACAAGGGACTACTTCTTGCAGTTTTTTTTTTTTTTTTTTCCCAAAACAAAGCAAGATCCCAGAAGCTCCAGAGACTAAGGAAGGAAGATTGGGAGTTCAAAGCCAGCTCAGCAAAAGTGAGGGCACTAAACAACTCATTGAGACCCTGTCTCTAAATAAAATACAAAATAAGACAGGGGATGTGGCTCAGTGGTCAAGTGCCCCTGAGTTCAATCCCCAATACCCACTTCCCCCCACAAAAAAAAGCACAAAAAATTTATTTTGAATTAATGGAACACAAAACTGAAGGGAAACAATTTAAGCAGAGCTCATGAGGCAGATCCAGAATTGTAGCCTGCTGTCAATTTTCATGGTCCTGCACAGAACCCATGTCAAGTAGATCCCCCAAGGAACAGTGACCTCTGTGTAAGGATCCCTCTGCACTGCCACAGCTCAAGAGCCTGCTACAGCTGACCTCCCTGTCCCAGCCCCATTTTACCTCCTGGCTCCTGATCTATTACAAGCCACAGCAAACTCCAGTCTAAACAGAAGTCTCATGAAGCAGACTCTTCTGTGTGCCGACAGCAGAGGGGAAAGCAGTTAGCTCTCCATATCCTCTCTGCTGTTCCTTTCATGTGAATAGCTGCTGGCTACCTGAATGCTCAGGCCTGGTGGCTGAGGCTGCAGAGAGAATGCTGCAGCTCTACTCATGATCTGCTTGTCTGGCCCTCCTCACCCAGGCAAGCCACAGGCAGAGCTTCATGACTACCTGACCTGCTCCAGCATCAGCCCAACTGACACTGTTGAAGTGGCTTGGGAACAGCCCTGCTCCAACAGCAGCCTGAAGTAAGACAACACTGCTCAGTGACAAGGCACAGCTAGAGAGCAAGTCTTTGATTGCACAACCAGACAAAAACATGATTCAGGGTCACATCCATGCTGAAGAAAACTCAAAGCAACAATGGTTCTCCCAAATTCTGCCAGTGACCACAGGACAATAGGGAGAAAGCTGTAGGAGCTGATTAGTCCCACTGCCCTGCCTCTCTATTGTGCATGCAGTGCTCAGGGTGAAGCCCACTGCAGTGATGAAGGTGAAGGGCAGAACAACAATGAGCAAGAGACTAAGCAATGGCAGTAAGGCAACTGCCACATAAAGCAAGGCCTGAGCTCCCCAAACAGTGAGATGGCTTACAAGAGAAGTGAGCACATACCAGTGCCGTCCTCCTTCCTTATGGCTGCTTAATGCTCAGATAGGGACAAAAGCTAACAAAGGGCTTGGTCAGCTTCTAAGTGGCACTAACAATCCTGGGATAGACTTAGAACCAGTACACACCTGAATCCAGAACCACAGCTCTATTTTTGCACAAATAGTCTGAAAAGCATAATACAGAGCTCTGTCGTTTTTCCTTTTTACTCCTCCATACCAATGACATTTAAAATAAGACCACTTTGACTTCCTTGCCTGATTCTACTAGAGGTTCTTGAAAGTTAGGAGGCCGGGGTTGGACAGGAGGGGATAACATCTCAAAGACTTGCTCAGAGTCTGTCCCCTCCTGAGGGGCTCTGGCCACATAGTGCAATGTCCCTGCACGTCCATCTCCAGCAGGCATGGCCTGCGCCTCCCAGCTCTCCTCCAGCTTCCTTAACACTTTCATGTGTGTCTGTGCTCCCTTTCTGGATGGTTCAGGATGAATGAAGAGTAGGCTCTGAATACCACAGTGTTCAGTAAAGGCTTCTGGAATTACAAGGTCTGGTGGCTTCCTAAAGTCCCCAAGATTCCTGCATGAGCACAGACTATTCAAGGGATGGTGTACACACCCTGGCTGAGGTGGACCTGACCAACTGCCACCACCACATCACCAGTACACCTCTGCTAGGAAAACTATCTGCTGCAGTGAGGTGTCCAGGGCCTCTGCCAAGAAGCCCTGCTCCTCCACTGTAGAGAGCCCCCTGGCACACACCCTGTCAATGCACAGGCTGTGCCTCTGGCACAGTGCTCACCTGCTCGTCCACATAGGCATCAATCCTCTTCTGGCACTCCAGCCACTGCTCCGCGACTCTGCGCAGCTCCTCCTCAGAGCGCTGGAACCTCTGCAGCAAGGTGCTATATGTGTCTTCATTGCAGGTGTCATGTGTGGTGGTCCCCAGCCTAGGAGGGAGGAGGCCTTGTGACAAGAGAGCCTCAAGACTCCAGCTGGGAAGCAGAGGTATACCTGCCACGACAGTCTACCTGGGTCATCTCAAAAACACAGTAATGCCACTACATACCACAGCAGGGCTGCAGTGAGGGCCCAATAGGTCACAGATGCAAGGTACCCAATAAAACCTCACATAAAGGAGATACTCAAAGAAAGAAGAGCTCCTAAGAAAAGGAATTAGTAGGGAATAATGCCATCCCCAAAAGACCACGGCTATGGTTCAGTTTGCTGCACATGGGGTCATGAACTATTTTTTTCCCATTGAAATACAGACACAGAGAAAACAGAACATTTACTGAGAGAAAAAAAATTATACTTGGTTTTCAAATAAAGCAAAACAGAAAATCAGATTCAAATGAAGAGATACAGCTATACTGTGTTAAGAACAATGGTAAGATGGGAAATGAAGGACACACAGGTGGACTGGAGAAAAAATATGCAGATTTCTGAAAAAGAGGACATGAAGCAAGATAGTGGTTTGGGAGAGAGAAGATGGCAGCTCAAGGGGTGGTGTGGAGCTACATAGAGATTCTCACCAGAAAAATTCATTTCATTAATACATAAGTACACCAACACATTTTACCTGTAATATAGAGTTCTCAACATTGATTATTCAGAATCAAAGACTCAAGCTGGGAAGCAGAAGTATGCCTGCTTTACATTTATACCAGAAACATTTATATCAGAAACACAAAGAGCACCAGGCGCAGTATAATCCCAGCAGCTCAGGAGGCTGAGCAAGGAAGACCACGAGTTCAAAGCCAGCCTCAGCAAAAGCAAGGCACGAAGCAACTCAGCGAGACCCTGTCTCTAGATAAAATACAAAACAGGACTGGGGATGTGGCTCAGTGGTTGAGTGCCCCTGGGTTTAATCCTCAGTACACTCCCTGTCCTGAAAAGAAAAGAAACACAAAGACTTAAGTGCAAGGGTAGACATATAAGCACTGTTGATATAAAAAAAAACAAACAAACTGGGAGTTAGCCACAGAGAACCATAAAATAATTATGGGATGTCTAGGTGAAGGGATATAAGACAAAATTGTAAAATTTGTAGTTATCTATTCATCCACACATATACATGTATGTTTTAAAATGAAAATATACCTAGATACAATTACAGCATGCTTAAAAATGTGCATGAGTAGGCTGAACACGTAGCTGAGAGGTGAAGTTCTTGACTAACAGGAGTGAGGCTCTGGGTTTCATCCCCAGTAATGAAAAAAAATTATGTGGGGCTGAGGCTATGACTCAGTGGCAGAGCCCTTGCCCAGCATGTGTGAGGCACTGGGTTGAATTCTTAGCACCACATAAAAATAAACAAAATAAAAGGCATGCTGGCCATCTACAACTACAAAAATAAACAAATATTAAAAACAAACAAATGTATGCGGCAGGACACAGGAAAAATGTGTAAGAAACATCAAAGTGATTACAGTGCTTTTTTTCTTTATGATTTTATATATTTTCAGGATTTTATCTATGGTAACAATCTAATAATTTTATAATAAAAATAAAATCACTAGGCCCTGTGGCACTTGCCTGTCTAAAGGCTAATTAGATAATTAGATTAATTAGGATAATTACCAAATTTGAAGAGAGCTTGGGCAAACACAGTGAGACCCTGTCTCAAAATAAAAAGAAAGAAAGGCTGGGGGAATAGCTCAGTGGTAGAGTGCCTCTAGGTTCCATCCCTAGTACTGGAAAAAATAAAATAAAATAAAGCCATTTTAAATTAAAATCTTGTCACAGGTAGAAATAAACAGAAACAACTCACTCTTTTCCTTTTATCTGGGAGGTCCATGGGGAAATACTGCATAGAGAGGGAATCTGCAACCAAACCCCCTGGTTGCGAACCCTACCTACACACATGGATGACAGCCATGCAGAAGCACGCAGAAGTTGTTAGGGAACAACGCAGGAAACAGAATACTGATGCACACAAGGACAGTGAGCAGTGCAAGCATCAAGTCTCCTAAGACTCTCCCTCTCAGGAAAAATAGCTCTTCAAGATATGGCTCTAGTGACACCATCTTTCTCTTCTGGGTTCTGTACCAATGCCTAGCATGACCCCAGACCTCAAGAACACAGCCTTGCCTCTTGCCACGCTGTGGTTGTGAAGTAGAGATCTTCTGCAGACTCTGGTGGCCACCAGCCTTGCTCCTCTCATGAATGACTTCCACTCTTCACACAAAGCTCATTTTATGTGTAATTCCATCTGGCCCCCCATTCCACCTGCTCCTACCAGAAGTAAGCACACATCTCTTCCAATTTATAGGACACTGATTATTTTGAGCCACAGGAGGGCAGAGGAGACAGGGGTCCTGGAGATTTCTTTGCTGGTATAATGTGAGAGCTCCATAAGTGTGTTCATGAAGGACCCAGATTATGGCACCTCTATCTTTTCAAAGGACAAACAGTTCTTTAACAGGTAAATTGTCAGGAAAAAGAGGGTGCTGCTACAGATTAAGACTTTCAAAAGACAAAGGGGGAAAAGGATAGAATGGGAGTTACTGTTTGGTGGTTACAGAGTTTCTGTTTGAGGTGATGAGACAAAGTTTTGGAAATATATAGCAGTGATGGCTATAAATAAATGCTAAATAACCATACACTTAAAATGGCTAAATTGGGAGATTTTATATCAGATATATTTTATCAAATTTAAATTTAAAACTATGCAATATGCTAACAGCTACTGAATTGTATATTTTAATTGGTAAATTGCACAATATGCACTTGTCTCAATAGAGCTATTCACATAAAAGAAAAATAACTTTCTTAAACTATATCAAATTCATTTGGATGAGGACACCTTTGGGTAGACAATTCATGTTTAAAAACAAAACAAAAAGCCAGGTGAGATTAAGAAAGGAAAAACACACTTGGCTATCAAGAGGAGAATGGCTACAGTGAAAATTCTGGGCAAAGAAACTGATGTGGAGGGGCAGACATGGGTGCTGCTCTAGACACTTGCCTTTCAGCAGTTAATTAAACTCAATGTGTGCTTTGTGCAGTCCTCCCTATCTTTTCAAAGAAGTCAAACAGGCCCGGAGATGAAGTGCTAGTATTAAAATACAACTGCTGTATTTTGCTGCTTAGGGAGTACTGTTTACATATAATTTGTGTCAAGAATTTTTATGAGTTGTTAAAATCTGTTTGTTCACTGGAAACTCAAGTCTATATCCTTCTCAGATCCAACAGTGGAGTCCCCATGGGACGTCAAAGGACTGCTTTATCACCATCACCATGCCTCATCTGCTCCTGGAACTCAGAGATTGTAGCAAGAACCTCAGAATTAACATTTAAGACTATAAGACACTGCTGCTCTTTAGAGTCTGTCCATTTTATTCCTGATGAGAAATAAAAACTCTAGAACATGGGCACAGGGGAAAAAAAAAACCAAGAGCTTTATAATGCCTTTCAAGTTTCTGTCACCATCCCATAGTATGATGACAAGCCCATCAAACCTGCTGGTTCACAGTAGCAGGATGGATAGCTTCAGGTGAATGTCTACCTCTTGGCTTAGAAGACAATGAGTTCTTCACTTCAACCTCAGCTTCCAAAAAGTTCCCAGCTCCTTTTCTTTTCTTCTTCTTTTTCTTCTTCTTTTTTTTTTTTCCTTCACTATTGGGGATCCAACCCAGGGCCTCACACATACTCTCAACTCCTTTTTCTTCTGTGACACTCACAATTAGTGTATTAAAATCTTTTAAACAGTGGACACAGGAGCAGGAGTTGGTTGGTGGACTGTGCTTCCTGTCCGGGGGCCTTGCAGGAGGGGCTCTGAGAGCCATGGCACCCACTGGACCACCAGCATGCCTCCCTATACAAGGGCCTCAGAGGCTGCACTAAGCAACTTCATTTACAAAGAACCCCCCCCTGGGTGTGATCCCCAAATGGACATACAGTCAAACACCCGCACAGACAGTTTGGGGAAGCCCAGGGATCCCGGCCATGGCATGAACTTGTGTCTCTGTGCCCTGTGGACAGGAGACGAGGAGTGCTGTGTCCGAGCCTCTGTGCTAAAGGCTTCTCCCCTGTAGTTAGGGGATAATGATCTCTGCCTCCTTGGGCTTGTGCAGAATAGATTTATTAATAAACATGAGGTACTGAGAGCACTGCTCACCACACCGCCAATGCTATGGAAAAACAAAAACAAACAAAACACACACACAAAAAAAACAGTGGACACAGAGGGAAAGAGTAGCTGGGAAGCAGGCTGTGGCTGAATGCTGGAAGAGTTCGGCACACCTGCGAGTGCCACGCCATGCCTGCACAACACCTTTCCATCAATCCCTCTAACCTCCCTTTTTTTTGTTTTAAACGATATTAATCTCACTTAAATATCATTTATTTAAAATAGTATTTTTCTCTCCTTTTTCAAATTGAAGGCTGCAAAAAATAAAAGCAGTGCTTTCTTAGGTGAACTGTTCTTATCTTTCACATTGCAAAACCTCAGCAGGCACAAGCCACACCTATCCTACTTCATACAAAACAGTCCTCCCGTTTAATCAAATAAAACTACTGGACATGACATTGGTTTTAGAAAAGTGCTGGATGTAGGAAAGCCAGGTATGCTGGAGTTACTTTAAGTAAAAAGGTTGCTCCAACTAGGGCATCTTTGCTTCCTCAAGGAAAAACTGCAGATAAACCCAAAAGAAAACAAGATGATGATCAGGAAGATAACCAAGAAGGTCAAGCAGTCCTCCAGGTCCCTGACCTTGTACACCGAGCAGCCACCAGCAATGGAGTTGGCAGAATATGGGGTGACCTATCAATTCTAAATGCTGAAGACCCTGGGGTGATGAGGAAGGATAGAGCAGTGGCCCAGGGAATGGCAAGGAAGACACCTGACTGGGCCTCCAGGTTGTAAGTGGGACTGCTCCTGTAGCAAGGACTTGTGGTCCAAGACCACTCAGACTTGCTGACCCAACAGGGATGGCAGTGGCCTAGTGGGCTCAGCCCTGTGAAGTGCACCACCAAACTGCTTTTGAGGCTGTTCTTTGTCTAGAAATGAGGTTGTAAAATGGGGGACAGTTAAGGGCCAGCCCTCAAATAAAATTTGGGAACATATGCAATGAACACTACATCAATACCTGGGTTTTAAGTTTTTTGTTTTTTTTTTTAAAGCAGACTGGTAGGTAAATCAGAGTGATAATTTATTACAAGCAGCTCCTCCTGCTTTTTTTGGTGGCACTAGGTATTGAACCCAGGGCCTGGCACATACTAGGCAAGCACTCTACTACAATAAATACATATATCCCCAACCCCCTGTTTAGTTATATATTGAGACAGAGTCTCCCTAAGTTATCAAGAATGACCTCAAACTTGCAATCCTCTTGCCTCAGCCTGTTGAACTGGAATGACTAACATGTGCCACTATACCCAAGTTGTGGTTCCCCTTCCTTGCCAATCTATTCAAACTACATTTTGGTATAGCCAAACAAAAATGGCTATTGTTAGGTGTATCTAGAATATGCAGTTAACAGGTAGGAAAAACAAAATCATACAATGGGGACTAAGGTAGCTCTCACATGACTCCACTCTGCTAAGCAACATCAGATGAAAGAGAGGCATGCTTCCTAACCCAACACAGTACCTTCAGGGCAAAGAGAGGCATGCTTCCTAACTCAACACAGTACCTTCAGGGCAACGCACACCCAGCCCCCAGCCCCTCACTTGCTCCAGTTCATGCCCCACAAATGCCCACAAGTGAGTTCTGCACTATTATGTTTATGTTGACATGAGGAAGCCACCTGGATATTCCATATCAGGAAGATGAATCCAGGAGACAAGCAGAGATGCAGAGCTGGGGCATGGAGGGCACATTTCCAAGAGATGGTAACATATGCCTAATGCTCAAGACAGCCTGCATGCTCACACCTGGGCCCTGCCTCCTTCTCCGACCTCCCCTGCACATCCCTAAACCACAGAAGAGCCACAGCATTCCTGCCAGATAGAGTGAGTCCTGCCAAGGGAAAGCATCTATTACTGTAGCTTTCCTATATTTATGAGGAGTTTGTAGTGTAATTCTGAGTGGCATTTATATTGGTTTATTACTTAAAAATTTAATTTTATTACTCCTTAGGTTTTGAGTTTTCTGCCCAAACTGTCTTTTTCCCTAGGCCCTGTGATATTTTTTCTGCAAGAAGGTCCAAGCACACATAGATGAAGTGGTCTCTGGGCGCACACACACACACCATATCACAGGAAAACTGTACTGTCACACCACAGGATGTACACAGATTAAGAACAAGTACCTGATCTGTGACACCAATGCTGGTAAGTTGCTCTGGAGAAGTGGCTCCGAAAAGACCAGATTTTCAAACAGGTGTTTATTATGCAGTTCCCAGGTCACCTGGAATTTTTTCAAGTGTTCATTTTCCTAGTTGATAAAAAAAGTAAAAAAAAAAAAATAATAATAATAATAATTAAAACACACACGTACCCCCAACCCCCCCACACACAAAAAAAAGGAGGCAGTGAAATGATGAAGACTTGAAATCTCCAAGAAGGATTTCCTTCCCACCCCACAAATCCTCTACACAGGTCCAGAACATTCTGCTTGAGAGGAGTCACTTCTCCCTGTGAGTCCCAAAGTACACACTGAATTACTGAGTCAGATCTCCAATTTTAGTGACATGAGTCTCCATCTCATTTCCCTTCTAAATAAACTCACACACATAAAAAGGGCAGCAGGTACACACACAGATGAAAAAAAGAGGAAGAAAACATACTTGGTTGACATTTCTTACAATTAATTAGGCTTTCAAAGGTGTCAGAAGCTCTACATTTCAAATAGTGTTAATGAATATAAATCCTTTAATGTCAAAAGACAATCATTTTCTTGCCTATCTGAGAAAGCACTCATTCTGATGGATGCAAATAATTTCTTTTCTAGTGATACTGTGGCAAAGAGAAGGTTTTTCCGCTTTCCTAATTAGCGTAAGCAAAATCATTAACTGCTTTAGACAATGCTCTCAAACACTGGGCCACACTGGCTACCACCTCATTCTGCAGCAGTGCTTCTTGTCTCCATTGATACTCACAATGATCTTCCAGCTGTCACCTCTGCCCTCAGTATAATTCCTAGGAACCTCTCAGTGATAGCTATACCTCCTCCCTGTATCCTTTTACTTTTGGTATCAGGCATTGAATCCAGGGGCATTTAACCACTAAGCCACATCCTCAGACGCCTCCCCCCTTTTGTAAAATATATATATATTTTTAAGATGTACATGGGACACAATACCTTTGTTTTATTTGATAATTCTCATGTGGTGCCAGAGTTCAAACCCAGTGCCTCATGCATGCTAGGCAAGTGCTCTACCACTAAGCCACAACCCAGCCCCACCCAACCCTTTTTTATATTTAATTTAGAGTCAGGGTCTCCCTGAGTTGCTTAGGGCCTCACTAAGTTGCTGAGGCTGGCTTTGAACTCATGATCCTCCTATCTCAGCCTCCCAAGCTGCTGGGAATACAGGCATGTGCCACCATACCTAGCTCCCTGTATCCTTAAGCTCTCTATATGTCCCAATTCTTTTTTCCTCTGAGCTACATCCTGTAGAATTCCTTTACCTCTTTCCAATCCACAAATTCCCTTTTCAGCTTCTTAGTTTGTTTAATCTATCCATTAAACTTTTTTTAATTATGCCTTTTTATTTTTAGTTTTGTTTCCCCCCAACCCCAAGTCTGGATGATCCTTCTTTATTTTTTAAAATATTTTTTTAGTTATACATGGACACGATATCTTTATTTTATTTATTTATTTTTATGTGGTGCTGAGGATCGAACACAGGGTCTCTCATGTGCAAGGCAAGCGCTCTACCACTGAGCCACAACCCCAGCTCATGGATGATCCTTCTTTAGAGCCTTAATTCAAAATTTCAAATGTTTGGGGCTGGGGTTGTGGCTCTCTGGTAGAGTGCTCATCTAGCGCGTGTGAAGCCCTGGGGTTCAATCCTCAGCGCCATATAAAAATAAATAAATAAAACAAAGGTATTGCATCCAAGTACAACTAAAAACCAAATATTTTTTAAAAATTTTCAAATGTTTTTATATCTGTACAGTAAACAGTTATATTCTTTGAAATGTAAACATCTTTGGTATATAATCCTGCTTGCTGTTTCTGCTGGCTCTCAGTTGTGCTATCTTGAACCATGTGTTTTATGTTTTTTTTTTTAAACTATGAGCCGCTTCAGTATCACCATACTACCCCCTACAAAAACCATAAAAGAGAAAGAATAATAAAAAGAAATTTATGAGCTGCTTATAATGGAAATCTCCAAGAAGGAGATTTTGAGAGCATTGTCTAAAGCAGTACAGTATAAAAGAATGCTATGCCAATTCTTTGAGGTGGGCCCAGAAGGCCAAGCCTCTAGAGATACATGCTGCTTGACTTTGCCAAAAACCTTGGACCTCTGCAGCCTAACTTCCAGGCTTGAGCTACCTGCACCACACCAACAGCAGGGGCTTATCCTGCTAACCTAAATGTGTAATGGTTTTTAGTTAAAAATTCTCTGGGAGATGGTACTTCTCTGTCATATCCACTCCAAGGTCATGATGGAAACATTCTTGCATCCCTTCCAGTCCCTGGAGTTTGTCCTTCACCCTCTCACTGAGGTTGTAATGATGGAAAGCCTGCCCTTATTATTATTATTAGCCAATCCCATCCTGGGCAAGACTGATGGTGTATCTTTCTCAGGATGAAAGGAAAACCATAGAGCAAATGTTGATATCTAAGCACATGTATTTCTTAGGAATCCAGGTTTCAACTGATTTTTTTTTTTTTACCACTACGACTTCTCTTGACATCTCATGACATCTTAGTCCTATGTCTTTAAAAAAATTTATCATATTTTCTATTAACCACTAAGTGCACCTGTTTCCCTTGGGAGGAATGGTTCAGGGTATACTATATGCTGTATCTCATATATAGAGACAAAATAAAATAGAGCACTGGTTCAAATTAATTTTTGTTGGTTTCATACAACACTGTTCTACTCTGACTACCCAAGGAAGGCCAGGATGCTGGCAGCACTTTCTGGAGAGCATGCTCTCTCAGAGAGTCTGCACCAGGCCTAGGCAAGAAGGACAGTATCTTAACCTGTGCCAACATTCTCTCAGAAGATAGGGGAAGGTGCAAGGTGCTCCTCAGAGGCGCCAGGTCTGGAACTGAACCTCTGAAGGACAAGCAGGCTCTCTAAGTGGAGGTGGGAGAAGCAGGCAGGCTATCCTTGGAGCCCTTAGGTCTGGAGGTAGGATTACTATGCCCCTCCTGCCATATTCACCTGGCCAGCTCCAGTGACAACAGACGCCTCCTCCAGGCAGTCCTTACAAGTATAGCAGTGGTATGATGCAGGGGAGCTGAGAGAGGTCTACAACCCCGGCAGTGACTTACCAAGTGTTGTGTAGGTGAGTTTTTCTGGCAAGGTTCATCAATTTTAGAATCAGATAAAGACTGCTTAAAACCTTGAGAACCAATGATTTCAGAATGTAGTTTCACCACTAAGCAGCACCAAAACTAGCTTGCTGAAGTATCACTTAATCATCAAAGTGCTGAGGAAAGACACTCCAGAATGACCAGTGAGTGGCTGAAGCTGCCATGGCTTGTCACTGGGGAGCCCGGTCTCCTTCGAGCCACAGTAACCACATTTCCACTTCATGCCTCCTTCAATTCAGTGGCATTTATTTTCTGAGGTGGTCACTTGTGCCCTTTGCTAGGGCTGTATGGTCCCTGCAGGAGTGGGCATCTTACTCAAGTTCCTAAGCCTGTCCTTGCTGGGTGCTCGGCTGAGGGCAATGTATGTGTGTGTGGAAAAATGGAAGTTCTCGTTGCACACAGGCTGCTCTCTATAACCCTCACACCCTCAAGTACACCCATCAAACACAGCACTAGCTGTTGACAGTCACAACAGCATTAACAACCCAGAATACTAAAGACTCCCCTTCATCTCCCTGTTAATGCCCAGCTGCTCCTCATGCAGCATATATCCCCATGACTTGCTTCTTTGCCTCAGGTCTCCCCAAATAGTACTTCCATGCTTTGTCACCAGGACACCAATCCACTCAATGTTTCTATTTAGTGGCAAAGTCAGAGGACTAACCCTAACACTAATCCTAGCCTTTGCTGACCTTGTGGAGTGGCCTGTGGCAGTCAGCCCCTCAGCCTCAGGCACCTCTTTTCACCACATACTTCTGCTCTTTAGTTCACCTTCTCAGCAACCTCACAGAAAAAGGGGTGACATCTCTTACCAGAGTGCTGAGGAAAGTGCTGATGGAGCGTGCGGCCTGGCAGAGAGCGCCATACTCCTCGAGGAGAAGCGAAATGAAGTGGTGTGCCTGAGGTGGGCCCTGCAGGCCAGATGGCGCCTTTGTCTTTGCTGCGGCTGACAACTGCCGAAGCAGGCGGACCTTCATCTCTAGCACATACTCCCGGGCTTGCTGCTCCAACCGTTGGTATAGCTGGTAGGGGTCCCGCTCACAGAGCCTGCACAGAGAGAGTCACACTTAGCCCTCACCTGTCCACACCAGACAAGGATGGAACAGTCTTCATATCAATGAGCATCTTTTCTAAAGCCTTTCCATAGGTATCTACCTGTCAACCGCAGTGGTCTTCTTCCTCACCAGGACCTATGAAAGGCATCATCACATGCCTTAACAGATGAAGAACCCAGATACAATGTTGCCAAAGAACAAACAGAAAAACTGACATTTCCTTAGCACTGTTTATGCACTTGTACTCACTTGGCCAACCCACACATAGGAGCTCTGCTTCATGCCCCACTGTCCAGACCATCAAAGCTACCCAAGCTGGGGACAGCGTCTGAACTCCAACAACCAGCAGGTGACAGGGCGCATGACCTGCTTCAGAGCTGGCTCCAGAAACAAATTCAACTTGCGATTATTAACAAAAGGTGGGACTAAGAAGGCACCTAACCCAACGAGGGTGATACCAGGCTACAGGACTGGGCATTTTCCTTCCTTCTAGGAACTCAGGGTATAAGCAAAATGTTTGCTATTTTTAAAATCAGAGGAAAATTTAGAGAGTTTATCCTGTTTTAAAATTATCCCAACAAAAAAGCAACAGCCAAGTATGGTGGCACAAGCCTGTAATCCCAGTGAGGCAGGAAGACCACAAGTTTAAAGTCAGCCTCAACAATTTAGTGAGACTTTGTCTTAAGAATTTTTAAATACTTAAAGAAAAAGCGGGCAGGCTGGGGTATAGCTCCATAATAGTCCACAAGACCCTGCAATCAACATCTACCCCTGGGGGAGAAAGGGGAGATAAACCAATACATATATAAGAAATACTGTAAGTTAAGAGCAGGGGAAAATCCATGGCCACCACTAGCCACAACAGCAACGAACACTGTCATGAATCTCCTTTCAAACATGGAGATCACCCACTTTTAAGACTTGTTTACAGTGTCTGGCATCACTGTGATTAAGATGCCACTTCTATTAACTGTGCACTTTTGAGATGCCTCTAGATGGAAGCCTGGGACCACGGTTGCAAGAATCAAACTGACTGTTGGTAATATGTCAAAGGAGAAACCAGCTGAGCTCAGCACCTATTAGAAATGAGTTGTAAAATGTATTCAGCAGTAGATTCTTTCACCTTTTTGCACATTATGTCAAAAGAGAACATTATAAGATGTCACCTGTTCCATTTTGAAATTGCCATACTACCTAGGTTGTAAAAGACAAGAGACAAGGATAGCCTTGTATAAAATGTGGTTAAAGTTGCACAAATTCAAAGGACTCCCACTATTGTTGGTATATTTCAAACAGACCAATTAATTTTTGTAGCATGATAATTCTAATTTAAATTATGAGCATAAGAAACTATCCCCCTGAAACAGAATGTATTTCATTTATTAAAGCAAAGCCACATAAGATTCAAATGACACAGGAACAACTAAACTCACAAGTAGACTGGATACCTCCTTAGTTCTCCCAGCATGGTCAGATTAGACGCACTTTATTTCCTCGTCCATTTCTGCATTTTTATAAATTTAAGGAAGTAACCATGTGGTACTTTTTGCAAACAGGTTTCTTAAAATTTATGTGAAAAAGAGGCAGAATATGTGAAGACGCTATAGTCCATTCATTCATCCATTCATACATACACCCAACAAACTGTAGTATACTGTGTGCAGGATGCTACTCTAAAGTATCAAAGATACAGCATGAATAATCTGTGAAGAGACGCATCTGACATAAAGGTTCCATATTTTTTCCTAATACTCACTAGGAAACCTGACTTCTAAAAAAGGCACACACCTCCCGAACCGTCTCACATGATACCAGTGGCTCAGATGTGGAACCCTGAACACACGTCAGCATGACCATCACCACTCACTAACCCTGCTTCCAGGATGAAACCTGCTAGACAGCAAACATGAATCAACAAGAAACCTAAAGCATACATTCAAAATACAAGAGAGAAAGAAATAAAAATGAGAAACGACCCATGAAATGTCTAGCTCAAATGTATTGCTTTTTATTTGGAACATTTCAAAAATCAGGAAAAGATGGCACTTTCAAACAAGAAAGAAGTGATGCCCATCTCACCTTCTGTAAGTTACTGGGCATAAGGTAGGTGCTGAACAGCAGATTCAAGGCCAGCTGAATGAGGCAGCTGCACAGCCAGGACTGGCCCCAGCTACCCTGCACCCACATGCTGCAGGCAATCACCTTCATGAGCTGTTGGCCTCATGGCACCTCAATAAGTGGGAGAGAGCTCAGCCTTTCTCCCTGGATGATAAATGCAAGAGGCTTATGAAAGTACTTAGCATCTCCCTGGCAGAGCAGGGACTCAGGCAGGCAGGTAGGTATTATTGTCAGTTTTGACACAAAGAATTGACAGAAACATTTCATGTCTCATTAGGAATCAGGAGAATTTGCAACATTTTACCCAGAGGGCTCACTATGATCAGCTGTCTGCTAAAGACCTGACCAGGCAAGCCTAGCTGAGCATTCCTCAGGACCCAAGTGAAAGCTCACCCAGGCACAGAGGCTCCATAGGAAGCTGGGGAGGGCAGGGATTTACACAGGGACATGACAAGAAGGGGCAACTTGTACCTATCCACGAGCTCCTTCACTCCCTCCTTGTCGGGTACCAGAGACTGGTCCTGGTCGTCTGCCAGTGGTGTCCCCGCCTGGCGGTAGATGCAGCGGACCATGTAGCGCACTTCTGACCAGTAGTTCTGCAGCTGTTGAGGTTCCCGATCCATCTCTGCCGAAATTTCTCTGTGACACAACACAGGAACCAGAAGAGTTGGGGCGTCTACCAGAGCTCTTCCATCAAGGTGCACATCAAGCAGTTCTGATCCCTGTGGAGTCTCTGCACCTTTGCCACCTGCTGGATTCTTCCCTGGGCACAGCCCTTTCAGATATGCTCCTGGCCTCTCCTCCCCTCCACCAATGCCAGCCTCCCCACCACCACTGCCTGGCTATTGATGCTCCTCTTAAAATCTAGTGACTATGCCCCAACCTTTCTGAGGACTAGTTTCCTAGTGTTAGTCCTTCAAGGACAGGAATTTTTTATCTTGTGCTTTCCCTTAAAACCAGGCCACTGTGTTCCTCAGGATCAATGCAAAAGTTTGTCACTATTTATCAAAAAAGCCCACATTCCTGTTCTAGCCCAACACACTCCTGGACAGTGTGGCCCACTCTGCACATACCTGCGCTCACTGCAGGCTTCGCAGGAGCAGGCAGCCTCCGAGGGCGTGGCGCCCAACCCTGTAGAGGGCAGTGTCTGTGTGCCCAGAGCCAGCCTCCCTGTGCCACCAGCCTCAGGCTGAGAGCCCCCCAGTGGTGAGTGAAGAAGAAAATCTTGGCCCTGCTTTAAAAACAGAATATAACAGACCAGTTATGTTCAAACTCTTCAAAAAAATGCCTCCTAGAAAAATTTTAAAACAGACATCAAAAAGAAAATGTCTCAACTGACATTACACAGGCAACTTTTTCTGTCAAGAATTTTATTTGGAACCAGTGTTTTTGTTGTTGTTGTTTACTTTCTTTTTTTTTTTTTAAACCTCCTGAAGGTTTATACCATCATCACATGGACACCCAATATATGTATTTTATTCTTTAAAAAAGAAGCATTCTGTTCCCAGTGTCCTCATCGGCATGTGTGACAACCACCCCTGCAGGCATCTCCAGGACCTGGAGCACCCATAGTCAAGTCACCGGAGGTCTTGACAACCAGGTCAAGTCACTTGGTAGAAGTCTGGGCCACTCTGCATACAGCACACAGAGGCCCAGAGCAGCATCCCTCTCCCAGGGGCCCATAACCTGCACTGCCTGTTCTGACCAAGGAAAAGGAAGCTCTGAGCAAAGATGACAGATGAGGCCCAGAGCCAGCCTCCCTGTGCCACCAGCCTCAGGCTGAGAGCCCTCCTGTGGTGAGTATGCAGCCCATACTTTTTCCCACGGAGGGAAAGGACTTCACCGACCACCACCATAGAGAACTGAAACACATCCTGATCCCTTCCCCTTCTGCCTTCTAATTACCCACTGAGCTAGCACTGAGAAAGATGCTGCTAAGATGGATCAGGGCACAGAAGAATCCCAATCAGGGCTTACAACTGGGGCAGCCAGTTCCAATGCACCCCAACAGCCTGGGGAGAAGTAGCACAGAGCTCCCAGGCAGACTCCTATAGGGAACCCTTTTGAGTGCAGAGAGCTGCACCCTTCCCTCCTACAGCACAGGGAGAAGCCTTCCCAGAGACTGGATGTCAGCCTAGACTGTGTTTGGTCAGGTTTGTGCACACAGTATTCACATCACCACCCAGCAGAGGAGCAGAAGACTCCTCCAAGAGCCTATTATGTCTCAGGGGTTTGGCACATAGACAGTGATATGAGATTTTTGAAGTGTAAAAGTCTGGAAAGCCTATCCCCTACCCCCACAGCAGGCAGAGGGAGCCAGAACTGTGTGCCAGAGGGGAGAGCAGAAGCTGTGTGGTCATGAAAGACCCCACACAAAATGGGTGCTTCAGGTTGAGGAGGTGCCAACAACAAACCAAGGCATGGGCCTAGGACTCCCAGCCTCCAGACTCTGAGAAACAGATGCCTGCTGCTTATGAACCAGCCTACAGCACTCTGCTGTAACAGACCAAACACTAGGACAGCGTCTTCCAAGCAAGGACCAGCAACATGTTAGGCTAACAAGCCCCAGTCAGCCAAAGACAGCCACAGACAACCTGGCAGAGGACAAAGACCCCCAACTCCTCCTTCCCAGAGCCCTTTCTCCACCCTAAAGCCAGCATAAGAAAGGCAGAAAGATATTGGACACACACCACTGCCCTCTACCCTGGTGATCTCTGACTTCACTTCCTACAGCTGTGGGAAGAGCTCTGAATTAGTAAGAGTTGGGTTTTTCAGCGACCTGGGCTTGAATACTTGAAAAGGAGATAATTCCAACACTAGAAGGGGCTAGAAGGAAGTGTGGCCTGAGTGATGTCATCATGGGAAGGGAGGACAAGCAGGCAGGACAGCTTAAGGTTGGCAATGGAAAGAGAAGCTATTCCTACAAAACAGCAGGTCAGAGCCTTCAACACACAGGCTTCCTCTTCTCCTCAGGCCATACTAACTGCTCCACCTCAAGCTAACAATCCCAAACCCCCACCTGTTCTTCTTTCCCTATTGCTTCAAGCCCAAGATAGGTCACAGTTACCTCCTGCCTGGAAACGGCAGGGCTCTCTATTGGCCCCTGATATCTACCCTGCCCACTGTGATCTGTTTTCAAGCCCAGCCAGAGTGAGCTCATGTAGTCCCCAGCATAAACCTTGCTGTGTTGTCCTCCAGAATGAACTCCACTTTCTTACCACAGCTTCAAGGCTGCCTAGACAGACCTCTGTGTTTATGCTATTGCACTGTTCCCTTTGCCTGGAGCACCCATCCGCTGATCTCTGCACAGTTTCTAATGGAGTTCTATAAGTCAGACCTCAGCAGAGAGATTCCCTACTCATGGAAGTTGAAAGAGTCAGCTACCAATAGTTCCTTTTGCCTCTCAGCTCCAAACCCACCCTCCTTGCCAAGCTCTGTGTTGAAGGAACCCATTTCTCCACTCACAGCAGACAAAACATGGGCAGAGGGCACTGGAGGGTGACAGACCTCCAATGTTTCTCCTCTTGGTCCTATCATCAGGCAGCTCTGTTCTTGGTGTGAGAGGACTTGGTGACAGGTGCTGTCCAGCAAGTTTCATCATCACCCAGTACCTCAGGGAACTTCTCTTGGCACCCAGTCAGCTGCAACCATGCTCTCCAAGGAGGGGCCTTCTCAAAATTTGTTCTTCCCTGAGTCCTTTCCCTCAGTCCCAAAGCTCATGGTTGCTCCCTAGATCTGCCTTAACTGATCTTTAGGGCTCACTGTACAGGTCTGGGTAGCTGATTCCTGTCTCTTGTTACTTTTACCTTGTGTTAGGATATGTCAGTTTAATTACTGGTGTGATGTTCACCTGCTAGTCAAGCTCTGCTCAACACACCACCTGAACCACCTATTAAAGCTCTTCTATCAAACTGCTGTGTGATGCCCGTGGTGGCACATGCCTATAATCACAGGTACTCAGGAGGCTGAGACAGGAAGATTATTAAGCTCAGCAACTTAACAAGACTCTGTCTCAAAATAAAATTTTAAGGTGGAGGTGGGGCCTGGAGATGTAGCTCAGTAACAGAGTGCTTGCCTAGCATGTACAAGGCCCTGGGTTCAAACCCCAGTACTACCCCTGAATAAATAAATGTGTGTGTGTGTGTGTGTATAAACGATTTAAAGCAAAAACACATGGTAACGTTTATAATACAGGAGGAAAGTATAAGACTACAAGGGAATCAAAAGAGGTGGAGTTCCAGGTGTCCTATTTTAAGTTCCTCACACTACATGTGAAGTGGCAGGATAGTCTTTGAAAGCAGAGGTTGAAAAGTTGAAAGTAGACGTTGCAAACACTAGAAGCATCTCATGAAAAACTGTGAAAACAAAAAGATATAGATAATAAACCAACAGGAGGTAAAATGATCCATAAAAAAATATTCAATTAGTCCAAGAGGAAAAAAGGGAGTAAGAGTTGCAAATAACAGAAAGGAAATAGAACAAAGGATATTAGTAGCAATGAAGAGCAAGATGATGGTGATGATAAAAGAATTCAACAAAAAAAGAAGTAACAATGGTGAACCGGTAGATATTCTAATAACAGAACTCAAGATACAAGAAGCAGGAACTAAAAGAACATTCCATTCAGTAACTCAACTAGACAGAAGCATCAGGAAGGATGCAGAGCATAGGGACACCAAGGTGACCTAACTGACACTCACAGAACACTCTAGCAGCAGCAGAACTATTCAAATGCATGTGGAACAAGAACAAGATCAACTATAAAACAAATATTTTCTGAAACAAAAATTTAAAAATTAAATTATACAAAGTATGATTTCTTATTTAATAATCATTAACAAGAAGCTATCTGGAAAATACCCCCAAATATTTGGAAATTTAAAAACATATGTAAACAATCCATGAGCCAAAGAATGAAACATAAGGGTGATTATAAAATACTCTGAACAGAATAAAAGACAACATATCAAAAATTGTGGACTGCAGCTAAAAGTGGATCTACTAGCAGAAAGAATGAAAAAAATATAGGCCAGGAGTAACATTGATGAAAGAAAAATAGAAAATTGATTAAAACAAAATATGGTTCTTCAAAAAGATCAATAACATTGATAAACCTTTAGTCAGTCTTAACAAGGGAAAAAAAATGAGAGACAAAAGTCAAACAACTTGGGCTAATGTTGTGGCTCAGTGGTAGAGTGCTTGCTTAGCACCTGTGAGGCACTGGTCTCAGTCCTCAGCACCACATAAAAATAAATAAATTAAATAAAGGCATTCTGTCCATCTACAACTAATATATACATATATATAACATATGAGTGTATGGGTATGTATATATAATCTTAACAATGTCAAACAACTGATATAAGGATTAAGGGGGAAGGGATCATTACAGACCACATGGAAATTTTAAAAATAGTAAAGGAATATTCTGAACAATTTCACATCTATACATTTGCACAAAAATGGGCAAATTTCTTTAAAGCTCCCTAACAAAGAAACAGACAACCTCATATAAATCGAACCTCATAGTTCAGAATCTTCCCAATGAGGCAAGCCTTAGGCCAAGGCGGCTCCATTGGTGCATGTTTCAAACACTCAAGGGAGAAATTTTATCAATTCTACACAAACTTTTCCAAAAGAGTAAGGAGGGGTACTACTTCCCAGCTTGTTCTATGACACCAAAGCCACATAAAAATATTATGAAACAAGAAATTCGCAAGTTAACATTCTTCATAAATCAGACAATAATCCTTAACACATTAACAAACACCCAATCCAGTAACCTATAAAAAAGGGAATATATCATGATCATTACCAAGTGTGGATTAGCCATCCTAGAAATACAACGTTTGTCCAACATTTCAAATAATTTATTTTGTTAATAAACTAAGAAAATGAATAACTGTGACCATCTCAAAGGATGCAGAAAGAGAATTTAACAAAAGTCAATATCCTTTCATGATGATAACTCTCAGCAAAATAAAACTCAACTCCTCAGTGAAATCCTACAGCTAATATAGTACTTAATGGTGAAAAGACTAAATGCTTCCCCTAGAATCAGCAATAAAAGAAGGGTGTCCACTCATACCAGTCCTTTAGACCTACTGGAGGTCCTGGAAAATGGAGTAAGATGAGAAAAAATAAAAACATACAGGTTGGAAAGGAAGAAATACATTATCTGTAGATGATGTGATCTACATGGAAAAAAATCCAAGGAATCTACCAAAACCACAG